GTGCAACTTTTCTGGTGCAGGGGACACTACATGCTGTTAGTGGTTTTCAGATTACAGAATGTGATGATATTATGCTCCCACATGGCGGGCAAAAGCCAAATTTCCCCATTGATTATTGATTATTACAGTTATTTATTACAGTGTTAATGACTAGACCCAAGAATGTACTGTATTACAACAAAAATCTGCATATGAACAATAGTTCAAAGTATTGTAAAGTATATGGATAGTAAAATATCCAAACTGCATCTAAAAGATAAACCTTTTTACAACCCTCTGTGTTATTTACAGTAGATATATACTTTTCCCCATAGACACATTTATTTGTGTCCTCATGTTATTTTGTGGTGCCTATAGCTGCCATTATGAGGTGTATCCACCCTGTTATCTGTCAGCAGTGGAGTGATGGCAGGGCCTTAGCACCTGCACAGAGAGACTCCCTTGTTGACCTGTGGTTCAGAGGACATCTGGGAATATCATGCATGCCTCCCACAGATCCACAGCCACCCAGTTCAAACAGACCACCAGCTAATTATGGCTTTCCCAGATCCCCGAGCTCAAGAAATCACTACAGAATAAGCCACGGCTATGAGATGTTTTCTTTTGCCCCCCTGGCTGTGGTTTGGTTAACGGAGGGATCTCGCAACAACCAGTGAAAATAAACTGTGCATATAGGCCTCCAATATGAACGCTGTGGGAATGTGTTAGAATAGAAAGGTATTTGTGCATCTTCAATTACTTAATTGTTTTTGTTTGTTTTGCAGTGTGCAGTGATGACTGACTGTTTTGGCAGAAGTTTGACCAAAGTTCACTCATAATAACTCAGGCTTTGGACATGCAAAATGAGATTACTGGATGACGTGTGGCTGTCTGTGGTAAGATAACCCTTTTTAATTACAAAACATTTTATATTTTAATATGACTCCAATGTTAATTATAAAATTCATGTTTATTCAGTCACAGCATATTTACAACACTCACATGTCTCCTTGTGGCAATCTGTTTCCACAATAAATACATTTTATTTGAGTGGCAGGGTATCTCAAACTTGTTAAAAAAAAATAAATATTTGCTGAAAAAGTGGAATGGATTGTCATTTTTCTCTCTGGTAACAAATCAGAGTCTATTTGGACAACATTCATAGTCGCAGTGGTCTTCATCTTCATGGTTCTTCCTGTGTGCCTAGTCCTAAGTGCTCCCTTGCAAATATAGTTCAAGTCTGTGCAGAGGGACATATGAAAAGGGCCACTGTCCTGCAGGCCCTACAGCTCAGTGACACTTTCCCTAGTGGAGTCTCACCTGCTTCAACCTGACACAGGACTGGGTCTGCAGCCTGGAGCATCTGTGAGCAGAGAGGGAGTATTTAGTCAACTTCAAACCACCATAAGGGCAAATTCAAAGAGAAATTCAGTTTTGAATGTTTTATCGCAGACTGCTTTTAAAGTGAAGAGTACACATATATATTTTGTTATTGGTCTATATTGTAAAGTCAGCAGGCTCTTCTGTTATGTTAATGTCAAAACATTGTGAGTTCATAGGATTCACAATACAGAATAACCAATTTTCTTGTTATGAATGATACTGTTTTTACTGTACATGATAGCGACTGACGTAGGAACTCATTTTCCAATTGCCATTCAAAGAAACATTAGCTTTGGCTTACCATGCTATTCGTTTAGCACGCTGCTAGTGGGATGTTGTGGACAGGGACCACGCTCCCCCCATCCTCCAAACCGAAAACGCGTAGCTCAGTTTCTCGTGCGCCACGTAGCTGCAGCTAGAACCTCGTGCATCCATCTCGTCGCTTTGAAGAACTTGGCACAAGAAGTCGATGTAACGGGCTGCCAGTTTTAGAGTCTGAATCTTACTCAGTTTGTCCGAGGGCAGCGTTGGTATAATCTTTCGTAATGACGTGAACGCCTCGTTGAGGGATTGTGTGCGCTGTCTCTCGCGGATGTTGGCCATCACGCGCTGGGTATGGAGGTCATCAAAAGAGCGCACAGGACTGCTGCTGGCCTCGCTGCCGCTGCTCCCTGCGCTCCCACCTCCGCCATCACAGCTCTTTCTGTTTTTCTTCTTCCCGGGACTTGGACTCTGTGTGTCCACCTCCTCTTCGTCCTCTGTGCTCCTCCGCGCCGCTCGCCGCTTTCTCGAGCCTCTTCTTGGAAGTTGACGATCCGTCTCTTCCTCACTGTTCCCCGCACTGTCCATTGGGGAGGGGTTCTCTTCCCGCATCCCGAGTTATTTACTCAAAACTTTGCTTATTCTGGAGTTAGACCCAATACCGTACCCCCTCAACAAACACAACCCTGAGCCGCTTATGTTATGCAAATATTCATAAGCCACAGAGAAGTTGAGGTGGCTGCCAGACAGGAGGGCCGGGGCTTTTATAGGGGAGCAGGCAGGAGGAATTTGGGGAGCGCCCTGATTGGCCAAAAGTTTGTGTGTAACTTAATACTGCAGAAAAACTGGGCCTTGTTATAATATCAGAAATATGTGTGCCAAAACTAAAACTGCCCCAACTTCGGGAAGCTTTGCCCACATTTGCCATTTGACACTCAAAACACATAGGCTACATATCATACTTTTATTTATAGACTTTATTTGTAATTTAAATGTTATTTTAAACGTTATTATATATGTATAGCTTTCATCGAAAGATATAGGCCTAATTGGTCAGTGACTTCTGTTATCAACAATTGGCTGTAGCATAACAATAGGCCAATGCCATTGGCTATATGCTCACAATTACAGTTTACAAACCTGACTTTGTGGGGACGTATTTATTTCTAAAATTAACTTGATATAACCATATAACCTGGAACAGGTCTAGACTCTGCTCAATTGGTTAGCGGGTGAACCTCTCCTCAGACTTACTCAAAACTCAGGAGGCTCTCTCAGCTGGAGGCCCACCTCGTAGAGGAGCGAGCTGTTTATTTTCCCGTCGGGCCCCGCGTTGAGGTATGCGCATAAACGGACCTGACTCCCGCAGGGATGTGGACACCGAGGCTCAGGTTTAAAGGCGGACCGATCCAGGGAGCACACAGGGCGGATCTGTGCGCACAGCAGGGTCGCTTAAGGCGGAGCAAGACAAACACTGGTGAAAAACGGGGAGAAAGCATTGCATATAGCCTAGGCCTATATTGCACCGTCGTTCGGCTCTGTGCCAGTATAAAATAGATCCAAAAAGACTGATCGCAAAAGGAGTGAATGTGACTATGTAACACTCTCACCCGGTGGAGAGGTGCTCGAGGCCAAAAGGCCTGCCACCGATCTGTGCGTCTCTGTGCGTCATGGACCTAATTCAATTCACACCTCATCGCCAAAGACAACACCGTGTTTCATTAGGTCTCCCGTGGATAAGACGTTTAAATCTCTTAATCTCAATAGGCCTAATATTTGCTCTTGCACTGTCAAACCCCACGGGGTCGGATATCTTCTCTTATTTCACTAGTTGGCCTGTCATTTGTGATGGTAATAAGCTGAAACAGTTCAGGTAACTTACACCTGTAAGGCGCACCTGGCGCTCTCCATGGTGCTGAACTACACCTGAACGCCGCACTTGCGTAAACTCTTCGATTTCTGTAACATATTTATTATTATGGTGTCAGTTTAAAATAAGATATCCCATAGAGGGAAAAAGGGGGTGATATACAGATGCCTCGTTCAAACAAATGTTTTACCCATAATGCGTACAGCAGTTGAAAAATTGCCTGTAGATAAATAAACAACTGTAATGCCCACGTGAATCAGGCTTAGTTTGTTATATTCTGCACCAGAAGAGTTATTAAGGGCAGAGTGAAGAGTCAGGTATTCTCGAGCAGGTCCATCATGAAGGAGATGTAGATAATGGCCAGCCGCAGAGTCTCGATACGGGACAGTCTCTTTTCATAGGCGAAGGTGGGGACTTTCTTTCTCAGTTCGTCAAAGGCCTCGTTAAGGCTGAACATCCTCTTCCTCTCGCGCACATTGGCCGCTTGCCTCTGCACCACCGTGATGATCCTCCTGCGTTTGGCCTTGCTGCTGAACCTGAGCGGGTCCCGACGCGTCTGTCCGCTCTGGACAAACGTACAGTCCACCGGCTGGTCTGACTCAAATGTGTATTTTTGCGAAAAATCCATTTTTCTGATTATTTAAAAAGAATCATTCGCACCCTTCCTAACAACTCCACAGTCACTTACAAAATGATCTTGTCACAAATCAAGTAGGCAATATTTAATTTCTAAATCCGGTTCGTACCCACCGGGGTGAGATCCTTTTTGGCTCAAGTCCAAGACCCATTCCTGCTGTTTTAATAAATCCTCCTTGTCACTTTTCCTCGGTCTCCACATCTAGTCCGTTTCTGCTTGAGCTGACTGAAAAGTGCGTATAATCTTGTTTTAACCCTGCTCATAAAAGACACTGCGGGCATCTCCAATTGACGGCGTGTACTCCACGCTACATGCCGTACTTTGAAGGACGGAGGCTCTTGACTTCGAGGTCATAGCGACTTGTTTGCACTGTCCTCTGCTCTTTAGAGGCTAAATAATGAGACTTTTACCACTTAAACAGACCAGGAGAAGACCAAATAGAACATTCCCTAGCACTCAAAGCTTTTCTGTTGCAAATTGAAGCAGATATCTTTCCGTTCCCATGGCATTATCGAGTACACAACAACCTTTAATGGGGTGCTGCTTGGACCATATAACAATAGCAATCTTATGCAAAACAAATTACATTAAAACTTTGAAAGTGATATCGGAAACGGGGACTGACGAATAGAACTTTATGAGACAGACTGTGGTGACTCACCTGTGACTGGAATATGCATGTGTCATGACATGACACTGACTAAACGTTTATTGTGTTGCCTCAAATACCAACTAGAAATTAAAGATGGAGTTTTAATAGAGGTATATGTGTGTGTGCATATACACATATAATATAGTCATCTGACCTTTGTTCAGACTCACCTGTGCTCTCTGGTGTTCTTCAGACAGCAACCAACATAGATGGCATCTAATGGGGACATGTGAGAATGCAGCAGGAATGGGTCAGTCAATCTACATTTGTAATTAGATTGTCAATCTAATTACAAATGGTAAGTTTAAGTAATTGATTGTCTTTTTATAAAACGTATTGCCTATATGTAAGGTTGCACATTATACACTTAACTAAAAAAGAAAATGGATTCTACAACAAAACGTCTATCAAAAGATGTAATATAATATGTGTGTCTTATAAATTACATTGGGTTTAAACATAAGCTATATTTTATTTATTTTATAAATTGCAGGTTAAATGATTTAACTCAGTCACTACTTCTAAGGCCTAATTTAAACATATCCTCCATCCTTTTCTCTGTTTTCCAGATAAACATGATGGGACATTCTGCTGGTTGTCTTGGAAACGTTGAGAAAGCACAGCTGGGCAGGAGAATATGAGGTAATCTCACCCTGGGGCTGCTGGGTAAATATTGGTCTTAAATAAGAAGTAAAAGCCCCAAAAAGCAGCACACACCTACAGAGTTTATGGTGGAAACACACAGGACGGGGTTTGTAATGACCCACTTCCCGCTCAGCTCTCTTATTAACAAGGAAATTAATGATCGCTCGAGGTGCAACCTGTTGTTTGAACGAGTAAATAGTGAGATGATCAAGTCAGTGTGAAACCACAATGCAGGGATGCCTCACAACAAGAAAGTTTAACAATGTGAAAGATATCTGGTGCAATGCATGCAACACAAGGGAGCAGAACACACAGGTGGGCATTTGATCAGCAGTAAGCGATAATACGTGTTTTTCTCGTGTAATTAACAACATTTTCATCTACATACTATTTTACAAGGACTATATTTTGAAACCTTACAAAAATCTATTCTATCCAAAAAAATATTGTATACTCACACACACACAGAGACACACACACGCACGCACAGACACACACACAAATACTGACTGATTTACACACTGCACTAAACAGTAAAGGTTTGCCATAGTCCCATACTGGGCCCATCCATCATTTGTAGAGGACAGAATGTCTGTAGGTGGCTTGGGATGGGTGAACTCTAGTATGGAAATATAATTTCACCAGGGCAGTTTTCAGTATTGAAGTTAGCCGTAGTTAATATAGAGTTCACTGGAGAACACTTGTGTCCAGGCTCCGCGTCAGACACTGCCAGATCTGTTCTCACTATGTAAATCTGTCTTCCTTCCTCCAGCTCTGGCTCTGTCCACTGTGTGCTACAAAACACCGCCAACTCTCTCCCACCACCACAGTAAATCTGAAACTAGACACTTCCAGACTCTTCTTTACTGCATCTTCCCCTTGCCTATGTGCTACAGGATTTATCAATATTACTATACCCCTTTTCTCTACTTTGTGAAAGAACATTGGCCACTGCATCAGAATAATTTGAATAATGCCAATCTGGTTTTTGACTCTCGATCTGGACAACAATAGAAGACAGTGGGAGTACAGAAGATGAGTTTAACTTCTGACCCATCTAGCTCTCCTTCATTATGTCACTTCTGCTTCCACACAGAAGCTGAGTCACAAGTCCCGCCCTCTTCTTCAATCCTGCTCTTGGATTGGTTGAGCATTTGAAAACACCAGCCACTCGTGTATTGTTTACACAGCTGGGCGCCCAGTGAAAGGTAAGAGCCCCGCATGTGCTTCAAAACTTGGATAAACCCCAAAACCACATCATATATCTCAACGCACCCCCCATTTTAAACCAAAAGATTCTGCAAAATGCCCTCGGCTCCTCCTTTCCTCACTTCCCTCCTTAATCCAAATGTCTTTCCTCCCCCCGCTCTGCACAAAAATGTCACAATGCGGTTCCCCACCCACCTTTGCTCATGTCAGCACTTTGTTCTATGTTTATTTTCACTGCAAAAGCCTTACAATCACTCTTCACTATGCATTTGAGAGTGCCTTGTTTCATTGAGTATAGGAGTGGTGTTTACATCTTAAATAATAATGAGTATAATGGGATTACTCTTGTCTATAATGCAATAAACAATTCTGGAGATTGGCCAAAAATTGTATATTAATTTGAACATACAGTATAGTGGTATGTTATAAAATGTATATATATATATATATATATATATATATATATATATATATATATATATATATATATATATATATATATATATATATATATATATATATATATATATATATATATATATATATATAGTGAAAAGGAGAAAAATGCTGTATTGAAATTAAGGCAACCAGGTCAGCAGTGACTATAACCGGTATTTGCACATCCTAGTACTTCAAAATTTTTTACATTATTTCCTGACATGGTGAAGTTGTGTGTAACTACAGGACTTGGTTGCCTAGTCCTATGATGGAATGTCTTGTCATTAGGGTCAAAGGGCAAGTTTTCCTTGGACTCCAATGTAAACACCACAATGAATTGTAATTAGACAATAGTGCTTCTGTTTTTTTCACTAGGCAGGCTTTCTTTTTTTACTGTGTTCATTGTCTTATCTATACATTATCTGTTACGCTATTATGTCAATATCTATAAAACAAATGTGTGAATGGGTTGGATTATAAATTGAAATTTCCATATATAACATTTCATTTGTGTAAAGCCATGGCAGCTCTGAATATCAGACAAGAAGAGCTATGATCTAAGGGAAACTCTTGCGTTGTTTTTCTTTCTGAACACTTTTGACTAATGTGCTCTTTAAAAGTGAAGCAAAGCTGGTTGCCAGAGTCAAACGGTTCACTGATCAAGGGAGTTCCATCTTCTAATGTCTATTTAAGTGTTTTTCCACCAATAAGCCCAACATTGTATATCGTCATCGGTATATCGGCCACCCTTCTTACAATCTTTGAACTGGCTGTCATAAAGGTTAAAAAACTCAATAATTTACTTGTGTCATGTGTATTATAACACAACTAAACATGAGATCATATTTTCCAAAGTCTTGCATTTTTCTGTGTTGCTAGGGGCTCATTTGTCATGCTGTGGTTTGGGGGGACTGTGACTGAAGCTGTGTTGATATGTTATGAGTAGTTCCCCTTCTCTCTCTGTCACTGATCTGGTCTCATCTCATAAGGTATGAGGAAGGAATAAAAGTTTTTTTTTGTTGTTTTTGTTTTTTATACTTAGCTTATTGTTCCACTATTAAATCACAGTTTTTGCATCAATCTGGATATACTCATATTTGGTCTCAATCTTTCTATAACTTTTGCCTTTTAATAAAATTGTTCTAATAACAACATATTTAAGATACAATTATCAACCAACCCTATTTTTACATATACATTTACATTTTGTCTTATTTCTGTCCAATTTCCTAAAAGATTTTGGGTGTTGGAGTGCAGTCTGAATACTGTCTAGATGCCTGTGAGCTTCCTCATTAACCACTGATTATATTGAGCCATATTAATCTCATTGCACAAACACAAATGCAAATTCAGAGAGGGAGAGTCACACAAAGTCACATAATGTAGTCACAATGCTGCTGCAATTTCAGAGTGGAGCATTATGGCAATATAGAATCAGGAGAAATTAGATAAGAGTACAGCTGCAATAGAAAAAGTGAAAGGTAACAGTAAATGACAATTGTATAAGTAAAACATCATAATTACTCTCAGCTTTTGATCAATTTGAATCTCTTTGAGATAGTCACATACCTTTGCTAAATGTCAATGTATTTAGATAGATGCCTTGTGATATGTTCCCTGGGGTCTTTAAGGTAATGATCTTGTGCAAAAAACGTTTTTTACTTGTAGTCCAAAGTATTCCCCTGGGCATAATATTGTGACAGGAAACACCCGTCAGTCGTCACCAGGGTTACTGAGGGCAGGACCATGAGTGTCGGGTGCCCTGGAAACACCACTAACTGTGGGAATAAGCTTTGCTAACCTAAAGTAACGTTTGCTTTTGGGGTTAAAAGTGTTTGCGCATTTGAGCTTGTATACAACTCTTGCACCTCTTGGGAAATCCGGTCCTTTTCTTTACCTGTGGGATGGAACTGGACGTGTGAAGGAAAGCAAAATTGCCAAGAAATTACCTAGAAATTCCTTTGAAAATGCCATAAAGTGATTTCATGGATGTCAGTAGGCCTGTGAGAGATGGGCTTTGATATTACTCAGGCGCGTTGGACGATATATAGCCACAGTTACACAGCTCTGACTGGTGGAACACTTAAGTTTTTATGACCCGCTGCCATTTGGGGCTATGGGACGGACCAGTGCCGACCACATAACTAATTAGGCTTGGCCGGAGGGGGTGCAAAGTAGAGGGATTTGTGGATAGCGTTTTTTGCGAATGCGGCAAGTCAGCTCTAAGTGTGTGGCAATAGTGTCCTGGACATGATGGGATTGCGTCAGTTGAATGACTCCACTAGCTCTTTTATGTACAAGTTGGAAATTTTGAGATAGAGGAGGAAACTTGGTGAAGGCTATTTTGTAAGTCTGCCAGGGCTGTACAGTATATTGAAGATGTATTGATCTCATGCTGCCAAAATACAAGGGCTTTGTGTCTATGGCCTACAACCAAATAGTTTTTGTTTAATTTTTGGCAGATGAAGTTGTTAGATTTCATAACTTATTTCTTTATCACAATGCACTTAAACTGTACACAATGTTTAGTCCTATTGAAACTGAATAGAAACAACACATTTTAGTCACATTTTTTGTCAGTTAAAGCTGCATTGTGTAAGTTTTCTGGTGGAGGGTAAATAAGTACTGTAAGTAAAGTTTATATAGTGCTTTTCACAGACATAGTCACAAAGTGCTTCACATACAAAAGATAAAAACAGCATAAGACATATTCATAATAAAATCAGTCAACTCTAAGCTCTAAACCTGAGGGGGCGAGAATGCTTGCTCAAAGAGAAATGTTTTTAGTTGCTTTTTAGAGGCATCTCCTCTACCTAGAGAGTGTAGGTAAGGAGGCAGTTCATTCCAGAGTTTAGAGGGTCCATCAAAAGCTTTTCTCCATGGATATGCTATTGCTTGCTCTAGAATGTTTCACAGTATGGCATTAAACCTTTCTATCTTCAGTTCAGACCTGTGGAAATGCAACCCCACTCACAGTTAGTTTTTCTAGGTATATTTGAGCTATAAAACCACCTCTGATTTACCAAATGCAAGGTAGAGCTGTTTAATATCATACTGTGGAACATTCCAGGCAAAGCAATGACATATCCATAGAAACAAGGAGGTAACTCCAGCCAAAAAGTTACACTGTGCACCTTTAATGTGTGGTAATGGTGTTAAAAGTGAAGTAGAATATAGCCATTCATAATGCTCATAATGTAGGGTGATATTGACACTAAAAAACACTAATCCAGCAAAAACAGGCCTTCTCCTATTGTCTCATCTCCTCCGCCATGCTTTCTTTACTCTCTCCATCAGAGGATTATGAAGATAAACGACTAGGCCTATGATATGAGAGTCCAGTGGCAGGACAAGGAGGTGGAGAGGGGGATCCTGTAGTGGAATGTGTGTGAACTGCACACTGCCTCAAATAAATCAGGCAGACAAGTGGAAGAAGAGCCTTGCAGGTGGGGGCAGAGGAGGGGCGTGAAGGAGTGATGCCATAGAAATACAAAGCGATAAACAGGGCTTAGGATACAGGTGCAATGAAGGTGGAATGACTTTGCAATTGGTGTCAGAATTACATTTGTTAATTACTCTGTTAGGTAAGGATACTACAAAAAGAACTGGTATTAAATCTCACTACTATCATAACATAATGAAACACATGAGTTTTACTTTCCTTTTGCAGTTTAACACCTCAAGATTTAAACATGAACTAGCAAATTCCCAAATGAAGCCCAGGTCTAGGCACTACACCACCGTAGCATGTACTTTATCTGTTGGAGATGGCTATATAAATAAACCCATATTGTACCTATTAAACTAAGTGTAAGTGTAAGTGCATTGTAAAATCATCATCTGTTTGCATCTTTGTTGAGCCATGGAATCTGGGAACCTAAAAAAGAAAAATCTAATTTTGTCTGATATATCTATGCAGGATCAAAGCTCTGTTGTGATGATGACAAATGCCCTAATCTCATCTCAGTGGGACAATTCTGATTAGATAAAGGTCAATACAAAAATAAACAATAATTGGAATTGTTATGGTTTAGTGGCAGACACCAGTTTAGATCCTGTCTCTTACTCTTAAACTAATGATCAAGTGCACAGATGATCCTACTCAGTATTACTGTACATCCGTCCTACTTCTACTTAAATTGCTTAAGGTTAAGTCATGACTTAACTAGGCTCTGCACAGAATACCAAAGGATTAAAGATTAATCCACAGCATAAATGTTCCAGAATTCTCTTGATCGTGTTGTCATTTCAGATAAAAACAACCACGCACAGAATCATGTCAAAATATAGTGCTTTATTAGGTTTAGTAGGTCATAGGCCATTTCATTTAGTCCATGTAATTTGTCAAGATACAAAACATCCATTTTGTATTATCTAACAAAATACATTTATCAGACAGACACTGCATTTTGAGCATTGTTCTGACTTTACCAAAAAATAGCAGGAAACTTGAGGATTCAGCTCCCCCTTTAGACAGAGTCACATAATTCATTCAGGACAAGGAATATGTCCAATGGCTCCACCTTGTGTTGCCTTTCCTTGATAAAAAGTTTTTTTTTTCTTATAGCCATTTTTCAATATCATAGTCTTTAACATCTGTAAAATGTTACTCAATTTCTCTTTTCAGCTCATTTAAAGTCTTGATTTTCTTACTTGGCATTTCAAACTCTTGACTAAAATGAGGTGGGCTTTCAGTTTGAGTTTGGTGTTTCCTCTTCTTGATGGGTTTGTCACTATAGTAACCACTGGAGTCACTGCCGAGGACCACCATAGAGGAAATGTCCACTTCCTGAGGTTCTTCCTTAACATGTTTGTCTTTCTTTATCTTCTTCTTTTTCTCCGCATTACCATTAGTTTCGTCCATTGTTCCAATTAATTCAGCTGTTGTGTCCATTACAGTATCAGGGAAAAAGGGGTTGGTCACTGGCTCCTCTCGTTTTTCTTCTTTGCATTTTTTCTTTTTCTTCTTCTTCTTTTTCTCTGTATTACCACTGCTCTCGTCTTCGGTCTCATTTATTGTCCCATTCAGCTCCAGTGATGAATCCAGCATTGTGTCCTTCTCTGGGGTAAGAGTTTCTTGTTTAATTTCAGCCTTTTTCTTTTTCTTCTTTTTTGGGGTCTCTTCAGGGGGCAGTTCCATAGGTTCTGTGGTCTGATCTGCAGTGGCTGAATCGGGTTCATCTGGCTGCTGTACATTGAACTGTACAACAGACGCCATGCTTTCACCTATAGCCAGCAGCTCCTGTACCCTATACACAGGAATGAAACCAAACATTAGAGGCTTCATGACACTTTATGATGTTAATTATTATAGTTGTCTCCAACATTTTTTGTAACACATGAATACAACTAAAAACAACTAGCAGTAACATTACGATTATTTAAAATTATATTGTTGTTTTGTAATATCCACTACAAAGAACCAGTGTTAAAATTTTTACATGCCTTGTTCTCTTCATTCGTCCTCTAATGAGCAGCACTCCTGCCGTGTCTGCATCCAGAGCTGTTACATCAAATTCCAGCTCTGAGCCGATCTGGGGTCCAGCATCCCTCCAAGTTTCCATAGAGACCAGGTTTGGTTTGGGGATGCTGGCATTGAAACAGCCATGAACCAGGCAACCCACATGACTTGCACCCAGCTTGTTTACCTTGCCCTTGAAGCAAAATTACAAAAACTTCCATTAGTAAAACCACTTGTAGTAGTTTGCAGTGCAAACCGTTCATAGTAAACAATTACTTCACCACAGCAGATCTTACCAACAATGTTTGTCCTTTCTTGGGCTGAAACAAAATGAAGTTGGCCTCTATGTTCAGGTGGATGTAGCCGCTGTCGTCAAAGATGTCCCCCTGCTGACCCACTATTCTTATGTTGTCATATGCTAAGGGCACTCCGGTCATACTGTAACACAAATAGGAAGCACTAAGCAGGTATATCGGAACAGGACAGGCACAGGGTCACAGTGTTTCCTACAGGTTAATACTGAGACTTGGGTGAATAATTTCTGCTGTAAAAAAAAAAAAGTCACTTATTGCCTAAAAGACTGATTAAAGTTTGTTTAAATGTACTTTGTTAGACTTAGACTAACTTAATTGATCCACAAGCGAAATTACTTATAGGGAATAATATTAACACAAGAAGAAATTTATTTTAGTAAGGATATATTACTCTGCTAGTTTAGAGAGGGGGGAACATTAGATATGGGTAGGACACCGTAGACTCCTGTATTAATGGGAAACACTGGGGTCAACTTGTCAAGTAAAGGTTCGGATTGTTGACAAGGTAGACTTTTTTTTTTTACCTCTGAGAAAACTTGAGCAGCTCGGCGTCTAATTCCTCCCTGATTCCAGTCTTCTTCTTGTTGAGGTACAGAGGGGGGAGAGCTATGTGCCTGCGGTGCGTGTTCATGACTAAACACGAGTACGGGGCTGACAGCAGCTCTATGGCCGCGGCGAACGAAGGCACCGAGGACTCGACTCCCGTGCCGATAACCGGGGCAGAGGAGACAGCGTCCGGGGTGGAGGTAACAACTACATCACTGGGCATTTTCACATGTTTTGGGTTGTCTTCAGCATGCTGCAAATTCGCCATGCTGCGTGGAGAAACCGGAAAAGCAACAAAAGAGATATTCCGCTTTGGAAAGTTGCTACAATTCTTGAGGTGCTGCCATCCACTGATTTGGAGTAAGTATTACAATTAGGGAATGGGGCGGAAACACACATTTTACCACAAAAGAATAAAAATAAAACAAACAAGAACCCTACGAAAAGATCACTTTGTAAATGTGTACAGCGCAGATATCCACATGCTGTAGTAGGTCAATGATTACTCATTATGTACAAAAAATAAAAGAGGAAAAAATTGGAAGAGACACCATAGACCCCGAGGCGCCATGGCTCACTTCTGTCTGTTGTGATAAATAGTGACATGGGTTCTTAGTCAGCAACATCTCTCAGCAGCATACTCAACCAAGCACACACAGCTGAAGTGCGCAGTATACAGTTTACTATATTAATGAGCACTATAATGAGACATTGAACAGTATGGTGTTGCCAAAGCTCACAGAATCACATGACATTGCAAGTTTGCCTAAGTATTTGAATACAATCCTATTTTCTTTTTGTCACTGTTTTGCCTAGGGATTAATTTAATGTTAGAATGTTTGAAATGTGCTGTTAAATAGATTTACTACCTTTGCTTACCTTTACAACCAATCTGAGAGCTTAGAGCGCAGCTGAAGGATTTAAGTTGGCCCAAATTAATGCAATGAGTCCCTAAATCTTCTCCTTTATTGATTTAATGGACAATATGGTATGCAGGTTATCTACCTGTATGTAGAAAATACAAAATAATAAAAAACACCATCTTTATACAGAGAAATAAAAGCTTATCATAGAAATTACTCAAGTAAAAATTAACCCAGATAGGCAAGATTGTGAGGCAGATTTGTTACTTTAATTGAGTACCTTTTTTATAAGAAGCATTTATAAAAATAATTTTAGTTTATAGACATAACAATATACAGTTATACATATACAGGCATTGATATACAGTAATAAGTATCACTTGTGTTAAGTCATTCCATTATGAGACAATGGATACATACTGAGTGCTGATTTAAAATCTGCATTCAATAAATCCATAGCAAGAGGAAATAGGTCTTCAAACTGCTGCATGCTTCTTTGTGCTTATCACTTTGTGGAATCTAATTGGATAAAATTGAACCTTACAGGTTAATAGTTTAGAGGTTACCATCAAGAGGTCTTTCGCCCGACTTTGGTTTAACTAAGCTTAAAAAATGTATTGCATATTTAATACTGTGGTTGATCGGCCAAAAGTGGATTTACTTCAGCAGCAAACCAAGGGCAAGATGCCTGATGCATCTCTGCAGTGACAGCAATAATGCCAGAAGATATAATGGAGGAATCACATGCTGTTTCCCTATTGTTGAGAGCTGTAATATTAATATCTTTGAAGGGTTGTCACGGTGATGTTGCAGTGTGTCCATTGTAGGAGATTTGTGGAATTCCATTACTGCTAGAATTGTCCAGGGTCTCCTGTTAAGAGAAAAAAAAGTTAACTTCTATACTATTGTATATTTTTTTTTCCTCTTTACATTTCCCACCTTATCAGCCATCTCATGAGAGTGATGCAGTGAATGTTCCCTTTCCAAAAACATCCGCTGCTGTTCAGAGCTAGCCAGCCGACAGGTGAGCCACGTCGACAATGTGCAAGACGATATCCCTGAAGAAACACAGTGGGGAAAGGGGATTACAAAATAGTGGACTGAACAGTATATATAAACATCTTTTCCTCATTCTTTTTCCAAGCTCGGGTGCTATACCAGATACCTGGGAGCTTGAGGAATCTCTGATGTTTTTCCAGAGATCTGCAGTAGCCTTCAGTTTGGGGGTACTCCACTGACAATAGGCACCAATGGGAGGACATCATAGAAGGACAAGCCCCTGCATGGGATGTACCACCGGAACATAACTGAAATGGCTGATATCAACAAATTCTACCTATAACTGGAAAGAGCTGATCTCAAGGACAGCACAGAGACACTCATCCTGGCTGCTCAGAAGCAAGCCTTGAGCACCAGAGCAATAGAGGCCCAGATGTGCCACACCAGAAAAGACCCAAGGTGTAGACTGTGCAAAGAGGCTCCTGAGACAGTCCAGCACATAACTGCAGGGTGTAAGATGCTGGCAAGGAAAGCATACATAACCAAGTGGTGGGCAGAGTGTAGAGAAACATCTATGCAGAGTACGGGCTGGAGACCCCAAGGTCAAGCTGGGAAACATCTCCAAAGGTTGTGGAGAATGACTGAACCAAGATCCTGTGGGCCTTCCAGATACAAACTGACAGAATGATGATGGCAAACCAACCAGACATAGTGGTGGTGGATAAGCAACAGAACAAAGAAGCTGTGGTGGACATTGCAAAACCAAGTAATGGGTAAATCAGGAAAACACAACACAAGAAACTAGAGAAATGCTGGAGAGCTGGAGAAGGCCTGGAAGGTGAAGGCATAACTAGTGTCCATGGTCACCAGAGCACTCGGGGCAGTAACTCCCAAACTAGAGGAGGGGCTAAAGCAGATCCCAGGAAAAATATCTCAGTCTGAAAAGGTGCACCTCTTGAAACAGCAAAGATACTGCGCAGAACCCTCCCAGGCACCGGTTACTGTATTTTCTACTATTTAATTGTGTATTTTTGTTTTAATTTTCATCAAAGCTTCATAATTTTCAGGAAAAAAATTATTGATCACCATCTGACATGAATTCTAAATAATTGCCATACAGAGCTATACCAATTTTAACCACAAGAGATCAGTAAAGCCTTTGTTACTCTGCCCCTAACTTCTGTGCAGTTGAATGTGTCAGGAGCATGTAAACATCAACATAAAATGAATTAGATATTTTACCGAGGCATGCAAGTGTCATTGCTGCCAGGTGGACTGAATGCATGGAGCTTGGTTTTTTGCTGAGCGCACGGACAAACTGGAAGTTGAGGATTCCACCGATCAGACCACAGATACAGCAGGCCGAAAATAGGATCATCTGTGAGTCAGGCAGAAGGAAAGAGTTAGGCTTATTTTCATGGACATGTCTAGATTTATATTCAATCCCCAAACTGTAAAAAGGCAAAATGTGATGAGAAGCAATAGGAATTTACAACTGAACTTCCATCATTATCATTGTTCTGTTGAAGGGGTGAATGCTGCGGTGATGAGGAATGAATGACAGTCAAGATAAATCTCATTTCCTATTAGAAAATTGGATCTGGCTCTATGCAGAATCACAGAAAGCACTATAAATATCTTTACATCACTGACTGTGCAAAATCACAAATTCTCATAACAATAACTTGCTGTAACTCAGCTCCAAGTCTTTTTTTCATTCATGATAAATAATAATGTTTTGGTTTCTTAGCAACATGGTTAATTGGTGTCTGCATGAATTTTACTGCCAATTGCTTTTTGTGTGTGATGTGTTTTGTTTTGAAGGCAATTTTTTTTTTTTTTCATTGCTCCCAGCGTAGATGGCTCTAACCGCATGGAAAAGGGCATCTCCGGTTTCAGTCATTACCCACTGAAGTGTTGAGATCGGCTGGCAGGAGTCCGGAGCCTAACCAACCTAATGCAATCACTGTCCCACAGGCAGACAGGACGAGACAAGGAAAGCTTTCTGATTCGCACTTGACTAGAAAGTTGGTAAATAGCAGAGATCAAAATGAATGGGACAGTCAAATAGATTTGTGTGGTAGTTTTAAAAAATGAAATACTAAAAGGTGGGTGTTGCAGGAGATTGTGTTGACATTGATCTATAGCAGACAAAGACATATAGACACACAGTCAGGGAGAAACATGAGGACACAGAGCTAAGCAAAAAAAGGGTGACAGAAAAAGCCGGAGAGGTGACTGGTTGTCTCTTGTACTCACTTCACATAAGAACTGCTCTACAGACTCACTTAGCCTGCTGGAATGAAGGCCCTTTGGGTCATGGTCCAAAGATGGATAACATGTATTTTAAACTTATTTTGAAGCAGCACAACTATTATCCTTTAACAATACTTAGGTTAGAGCAAAAATTGTTGTTTTCTCAAAAAATATAAATAAATAATTGCATACCATGAATTGGATGTTTTCTATTTGAATTTCTATTTCAATGGAAAAAAAAAATCTTAACTCATGTTAAGTATAATTCAAGTGACTTGAGGATTCTGTACATTTGAAAAGTTATTCAGTTAGCAAACTGAAGACATGGCCCCCACTGATATACTTACAATAAGCCCTGTTCTCTTGCGGGCACACAGCACTCCACACATCCCACAGACCAGGAACTGTAGAGACAAAAAAGTGCACAAGTTGGTGAGAAACCTGGAGAGAGCAACTCAAGTTATTCTTCACAGTTTGCACCCCAAAGTCACTCACTTGATGCATTGTCTTGGTACCAAGTGATATAAATGTGAGTGTGGTAGACCCTCAGACTAAACGAAAACAGTGCTGAGTTAAACTGCCGAGTGGCCTTTAGAACAATAACTTAAATATATTAGTATATACATTTAAATTGTGTTTTATTGATAGCAGGCAGTTTTCTGTCCAAAGAGTTGACATTAGGAGATGTCACCTTTATATGACCATGGGTCAGAAGTAGCTGATTCAGCAACTGGTTGAACATGCAGAGCACATGCTGGCATTGATTGCGGAATATTAATTTATAAAATAAAAGTATGTTTCAACTACATCACAGATGGATACAAATCTTAAATATTTGTAAAACCTATCTCCAGTAGCTATTTGTCTAAACCCTGCGAGTTTTGTAATAATATGCATATGTCAGGAATGTCCTGTAATGACAATACTGTCTTTATGACCCAATCTTTACACTAAAAAAGACTTAATAATGAGCAGCCTATTATTTAGGGTTATTGTATCTTATATCTTTAACACTGTATTTGCACATGATGAAAATCATACTGTGCCTTATTGTAAAATTCAGTTTGTTTGAAGTAGCTTTAATGCCATCACACTATACTTTTGTCTCATAAACACTCTCAAAAGTCAACTTTTTTCCGGACTTACGCAGAGCCCGCTCCAGACCGGGGAAGCGTCGCCTTGTTGCGGTTTGTGCTCTCCCCGGACAGCGCTGATTCCCACGGCACCCAGAACGATACTGGCCACACCCAGGCCCACCTCCAGCACTGACAGCAACAGCAGGCTCCACAGGATCTTCCGACTGGAGCACATCGTGCCCCGCGCATCGCTCCAGCTGCAGCGGCAGAGGCGGCAAAGAGACAAACGGCGAGTCCAGTTTTGTGCGCTCCAAGTCCGGTTACACTGCACACCCTCCGCAGGATTAATGAGGTACCGTGAAAAGTGAAAAAACTGCCACGCTGAAAATTAAAAGTGAACTGCGATACGCAGAGCAGCTGGTCCGTTGTCCATCGTTGTCCAGGTTCTGAGTGTGAGCGCCAAACACGCGCTGAGCGATAGAGCGGGGGTCATCTCCACACGTGAGCTCTGCTCCTCTCTGCGGACACGAGGGATGGCTTTGTATCTACCCCGCTTCTTCTTAACTGTAGCTTACGTCACGCTAAAGCAAGTACAACTTTTGAGAAGCTTCTAAGACAGCTGTCAAATAGACAAACAGACAATAACAGACTTTTGTCTGTTTATATTTGACACAAAAAGAATAGAGCAGGCTGACAACTTGATAGTTGTCCCAAAAATTAATTGTTAAAAAGCCTTCCTTCACTGAAGTCTAATTTAAGTTTAAGTAAGCTAAATATTGTTTAGTCAAATATCTTTGTGTTTTTGAGCACTACCAAAAAAGGACAGATGATTTGACCAGCGCAAAGCTGCAATGCTTTATTTGGACTCATGCATGTTTCATGACTTTGTTGCTGTATCGTTGGTTTAAACTAATTCAATTATTTTAAGGCGCGTTGCTGTTAAATAGTGCTGAGAGGGCCGAGGTAAACGCTGGACACAGCACTCTGCTCAGCTCTCATGTGTAAAGATTCTATAGTGTGGTGTCTTGATTGGACCATGCAAAATTAATGACGGTGTGGTTTATTTCATTGGTTATCTCTGTGCACTTTACTGTTTAAATGCTTACTTGCCTACTTATATTTTCTTGTTTGTGTGAGTCTAGTTTCCTTATTCGACCTCCTGAACTACAGTTAACATTGCTCTCCTCCAATGGTTCTCATTGCAACTGCAGTCTTTATTTGTTACAGGGGGCTTGGGCCTGTCAGCTGCACTTGGTAGGATCCAATAGGTTTTTATTGGTCTGGAATAAGATGCAACCATTGGCCTAGTGCCTAAACTGTAGTAGGCACTGATCAATAGCAGTGAATTTGCTTGTCTTTCTCACTGACTCTCAGCTCACCTCATCAGGCCATTTACTTTATCCATTTGCCATTTCATCTATTACAATTGACTGGTGGGATGCAATCATTTCACAGTGCATATCAAGTAGATACTGTTTATATGTGAATGTGCAGCATGCAATTGTTTATTACTAAAAATGCATACAGATTTGTCACCGCAGCATGGGTAAGGCATTAGAACTGAATCACATTTGCAAGGCAACTCAAATTTCAGTATAAAAATCCCAGCATTAACTCACTGTTAACTCTTACCATTGTCCTATTGGCGGCATTATTAGACAGAAGAAGGAGGAAAACCCTGGAGGAATACAATGACAAATTGCTGGAATGGACCTCACTCACTCATATTAGTGGCTCAGAGCTGAAGATGTATGGAGTTCTATTTAGCTAAGTGGATAAAGACAGGAGTTAGCAGGAGGTGCCTGGTAGTGTGCTGTCCCCAGAGGCCCATTATAAGATCCTCAGTGGTACCCTGCTCTATTTGTGGACCCCTGAATCATTAGGACATATATGGTTGCTGGCCTGTAATGACTGGAGCGCCAGGCATATGTCAGTCCACTGGTAGACTCAACAAGAGACAGGAGCAGAGAATGGGATTCAGACATCCTTTTTGGGTTTGTCTTTGAGTCGGTGCTTCATTGTGGGTGAACAGATGGGGAAGATATGTCAGCTGAGTGACATTACTAAGGCATGTGGGTGTCAGTTATAGACTTCCATTGACATATTCCCTGTTCCACTTCAAATTTGTGTTTTTTGATTCTTTTTTGTAGAATTCAGAGTAGCTTGTGGCTAATAAACTCTGCCAATATTTTTAGGTTGATATGTGGAGCCAATAATACATGTTCATAATACATATAACTACAACAAATACAAATAACTTTACATTTTATACAATGCATTGCTTTGCATTAGAGAATAATAACAAGAACAATATTATCTACAGCAATAATTTATCATCTCCACTACATCCCTATATAAATCAGCGGACTGGACATGTCACAGCAACATCACGCGACCACTCAGACCGCAAGTGAGCAGTCAAAACTGTCAGGTATGAAAACAAACTCGTGGTCTGAAAAAAGAACCTAATAACATAAATTATTGGAAGACCAAATTAACCTACTAGGACTACATTCTTGCTTCCCTATAAACTTATAAGAGAGCAGCATAGTCCCTTTGTTATCTACTAGAAGGCCTAAAATACAGCACTGAATTTAAAGCCAATAAAAATGTAGCATCACCAGTTGTTTGGTGACTTTTCCAGTCATGCAAGAAAATAATGCTAAAAGCACACCATTAAATCACAAATGCTCTTGTAGGCACAATTAAGCTGATATATTTAACACAAATTACTACTCACAAATAAACACAATCTAAGGTGTATTTTAGGCAGAGCATAGTCAGTCTGTGCAAATTTACTGAGCTCCTGGTGAGCTGCAGATGTACCAACTTCCAATTAAAATAACACTTTTCAAAGAGGTCGTATTTGAGGTCTGACTGAACTTGAAAGGTGGCTGTATTTTGAGTTTATAGTGTTAGGGCTAAAGAAAAATGGTCGTGTAGAAGGGATGGTAATAGGCTGCACTGGGATTGGCAAGACAAGCAAAGGACCAGAGAGGAATTATCAATCAATACATTGTGACTTATGCTATATGCTCCAAAAATCAAAGACCTGTTCAGTTATTTCATATCACAGAAGTTACTAACATACATAGCTCATTTTTATCACTGTCTATACAGATGTAGGATTCAAGAACATATACAGTATATTAGTGAAGTGATGAGACTCAATTTCAAGATGAGACGAGATACGAGATTCACTAGAATGAGATGAGATTTGAATATAATTCCAAAAATATAAATGTTACAATTCAGTTTCTAGTTTTGGCCTCACAGTTTTTTATTTCTTTGATTTCATATTTTTGTTTCCATTCTAATAGTTTTTTTGGGAACTGAGATGCAAATCATATACTCATTATAACCCTTTTTTGTCCAATCCAAATGTAAAAAAAAAAATAAAATCTAAATGTAATTTCTCTCAATCTTTTCGCAATCTTGTGTCATTTTCATCTCACAAGATTTTGTAGCACGAGACCTTGTAATATATATGGATATAAATTCAACCAACTGGAAACAGCACAAGATAATAAATTATGACTAAAATCAAAATGTACACATGCACAGGGGATAAGGTGATTTATGTATTGTACATAAACAGCTGCTCTACAGTGCGATGGAGCCAAAGCAAGTCAGCTCCAGTGCTCCCTTTGTCAGCAGCACCCCACAGGAGCCTGCTAAGCATAGGATGAGAAAAGGTCAGACTTGCAAGGTCAAAGGTTGCACGCTGTTTGCTTAATTAATGCTAGTGAAATGTGAAAGGTTACCATAAACAACGAAACTTGGGCCTGTGAGAAGAATGTGAATCTCCCATTTGTATATTTTACCACGTAAGCTAATTAGTGGTTTGTTTTTGCGTTAAACAATAAAGTTGTTTAAAGATTCATTGTGCAGCTTTTCTGGTGGAGGTTTCACTACCTGCTTGTCTCCATGGAGATGTTATTGCTTTGCCTGGAATGTTCCACGGTATGAAATTAAACATAACCATCTATTCATTACATGTGTTACTATTGCTCAAAAGTACCATCATTCCTTCTGTGAATAGGGGCGACTCTCCACAGATCTGAATTGTAATGGAGCGTAGTGCTGTCATCTGCTTGTTTCCCTGATCGATATGTTTAATCGATACTGTGGAACATTCTAGACAAAGCAATAATATTTCTGTGGAGACAAGCAGGTGGTGGACCTCCACTAGAAATTTTATGTGGTGCACCTTCAATGCAAATGCAAAGTCTAGCAAATATTGTTCTATGCTGTTTGTGTTCATTTAGTTTGTGTAGCTACAGAACGTGTACGTGGGGGCAATGTGATTGTTGTAGCAGGGTGTCCTTGAACTCTTAAATGGTTTAGCAATGCAGTGTCAACAGTGAGCTCAACATATATTATCTTGAATATATAGCTCTGCATTTTAAAATATCCCTAACCCTAACTGATTAAATAGAGCGCTAAAATAATTACTATGTGTTATCTTTTGTTTGAGAATTTTTGTTATTAACCTGTTTCATTTTTGCAAATTTGATGTTACTTTCACAGCCTATTTACCGTATTTTCCGGGCTATTAGGCGCTCTGGATTATAAGATGCGCTGTCATTAAATGGTCTATTTTCGAACTTTTTTCACTAATAAACCGTACTGAACTTTAAATGAAACACAACAGTTAGATGGCTCAGTCGGACTTTGTTTGGCTGCATTCACGGTGACTCTTGGCTTTGTTAAATTGTGGCGTGTAGGGAGGGTGCTGTCTGGGAGCGCTGGATTGTTGGCGTGTTCGCAGTGACTCAGTCGTTCAGTTGTGGCTAGAAGTGGCACATTGCACTCACTTTTTCGGTTCGTTCCTCCGTTCCATTCCTCATCTGCGTGGAGTGATGAGTGTGGCTACATGTGTTTTTTGCTATGCGGTCGCTGTCTGCTCCGTGCGTGTTTGCCTGCGCTGCGGGTGGTGCAGCTTTGTAGTTTACTGAAGTCGTGCTGGGACACCCGAGTGGATTCGTGTATAGGGCGCTCTGGATTGCGGGGCGCATGGTAGTTTTTTGATAGGGTTGGAGGCTTAAGAGCGCGCCTAATAGCTTGTGAAATACGGTAAGTGACTTCATTGACCATCAAAGGTCAAACCATCCATATTAAAGTCAGTAAGTCAAGGTTTATCTCCGATCACTGGTCTAAAGCTCCTCATCAGTTAAACTTGAATGTTAAAGTTGTAAGTCAGGTGTAAGTTTAGGAGATTCTGAATTAGCTTTC